AATGGCTGTATCACTTCACATTTCTACTCACAGTACATTTTCTCCATTCCTTTCCCAGTCCTTGTTAGCCTCAGTCTTTTGGGCCTTTCTTAGTGGATTAATATGATTTTCATTGTGGTTTTGACTTGTATAAACTACTTATGAGAACACAAAATGTTATATTATATTCTCATGATAGTTAATTTTCTAGAATATTGTCCAGAGATATTTCTTAGACTGAAACAGATAATGTCAATGCCAACACTTACTGGGCTCAGGCCAAATTATGCCAGTTCTTCAGTGTATTAGCAGATACTCTTCTCCAGTAGTTTATGGAAACTAAGGCTTCGGTGAATAGAACTACTCAACTGCGAACCTGGCTGAGAAATACTGACATTTTTTGTTTACTATTTAATTCCACTGTATTTTTTCCTGCTGGCTTCTGAGCAGCTAGGATTATAGGTGTGAACTGACAATTTCTGGCTCAAATGTAATTTTTAATGAAACAAAAGAAAGAATAAGAAACAAAAATCTTTGTACATAAAGCTATGTACAAGAGGTAGCATTAGAGAAGAAATGAATGGATTCTAAGTAAAAACTGGACTACAGTTACTAACATGCAGAAGAAAACTAATTTGATATATACTTCACGTTAAGCATAACCATAATTGTAAACTGATTAAAAGTGAAATATGAAAATCAAACATCAAAATCTTGTAATAAAAATGGGAAAGTTAACCCGATGCTGGTAGCTCACTCCTATAATCCTAGCTACTCAGGAGGCTGAGATGTGAAGATCACGGTTCAAAACCAGTTTGGGCAGGAAAGTCCATGAGACTCTTTGTTTTTTTTTGGGTCCGGTCGTGGGGCCTGAACTCTGGGCCTGGATGCTGTCCTTCAGCTCTTTAGCTCAAGGCTAGCGCTCTACCACTTGAGCCACAGCGCCACTTTTGGCTTTTTTCTTTTTGCTTATGTGGCGCTGAGGAATCGAACCCAGGTCCTCAAGCATGCAAGGCAAGCGCTCCACAACTTAGCCACCTTCCCAGCTCCTCCATGAGACTCTTATCTCCAATTAACTACCAAAAAACCAGAAGTGGTGCTGTGGCTCAAGTAGTAGAGCACTAGCCTTGAGCTGAAGAGCTAAGGGACAGCGCCCAGGCCCAGAGTTGAAGATCCATGACCGACAAAAAAAGACAAAAGGGAGAGTTTTTATGAACTTGGATTTGTGAAAGAATCTCCCTGTTTCTTTCCTTCTCTCTCTCTCTCTCTCTCTCTCTCTCTCTCTCTCTCTCTCTCTCTCTCTCTCTCTCTCTCTCTGTCACTTTCAATACTGGAGTATGAAATCAGGACCTCCTACTAGCTAGGCTTCCCTCTACCACTGAACTATGTATAACTATCACCCCTGCTGGGTATTTTTGAGGCAGTCTTGCTTATTTTCCTAGGCATGTGCTTAAGCAACAATCTTCCTCCTTTAAATTCCATGGATAGATTGCAGACTATTCTGGAAGCATGATCCTTCCCATGTTGCCTCCCATATAGCTTGGGATGACAAGTGTGTACTACTGAGTGTGAGTTGAGATCTCCAATTTTTCTGCCCATGATTGGCCTTAAACTCTGATCCTCTCCACATCAGCCTCTTAGGCAGCTTCAATTACAGGCATGGGTAACTAGCACCTGGCTTTGGAAGTATTTCTATAAATATGTATAAGCACAAGCAATAAGAAGTGACTTACTGAATCTTCTTACATATAAATGAAAATTCTATGCTTAAAAATAACATTATATGAAGTGAAAAATGATCCAGAGATTTAAATTAAGGCATTCTTGGAAGGTGAAATTTAAAAGGAATTAGTTCATGCCACTCTACTTCAACCACTGCATCTTTATTTCCCTGGTCTTTCTTTTTTTCCCCTTCTTTGTTACTTTTCCTTTCCTTTCTTTCCTTCCTTCTTTTTTCTTTCTTTTTTTTTTTTTTTTTTGGTGGGTTGGGTGGGGGACTGGAGGTTGAACTCAGGGCCTGCTACTTGTTAGGCAACTTGAGTACAATTTGAGCTTTGCCCTTAGGCATGTCTTTCATTTTTTTTGAGACTCAGCCTGATTTATCTCACTAAATGTTTGCTTTTTTAATAGAATCCTGACACTCTATTATAATAATTGTCCTTTTAAAGTCATTTCTAAGAGGAGAGTACTTAACGATAGGGAGTTTGTAATACTTATGGTTATTAGTAGATATATGTCTCAGTAGGATCTAGGAATGTACTAAATAAATGTCAGTTAGATGAGAATGGTATGCTATTTAAATACCACAGTATAGCATCCATCACTATATACAGCAAAATATTTTCTACACAAATATATGTGCTCAACATTATTCTAGCCACCAGAAGTTTAATAAGTAAAATAAAATAAAAATACTTACTTCCCTGGAATTCACTATAGAGTAAAAAGAAGCAAGTAATAATCACATGAACAATGAAGGTAATGACTGTAATAATAACTACAAAAGAAACAGCTTCTTAATGTAGTTAAGTTTGCTTCTGAGCGGCATACAAGTGATTGAAAACACAACGTTGATCTTTTCTGAGCTGGTAAAGGAACAGGGCCAACCACATTTGGGGTAAGTTCTTTTGGGTGAGTTCTTATTGAGTTTGGATGATTAAGAGGCAGTAACCAGTCTGGCTGACAGTATACATTACTATGAGGTACAAGTGAGTGTCATTAAAATCATGACATTAATACCTAGAGAATGAGCTGAATTAGGAGGAGATATGCAAGGCCTGAGTGAGGTAGATGAGGACAAAGCAGTGAATGTGACTGGCAATATGGCAGAGTGACCAGGAAAGTGTGGTTTGGTTTCCTAGCAGCCAGAAAGAAAGGGATCAGCTGTGTCAAAAAGTGGGGCAATATTAAGTATGATGAGGTCCCAGAATTGGCCCGATGTTGTGCATTTATTGAAGGCCTAGACAGAACCATTTACCTAAAAAGGCCTGGATAAAAAATATGAATAGAGTTCCAAAGAAAATAGAAGAGACATGTCAAGCTAAGTAGAGGTTACTTCTGGGAAGAGCTCTTTTATAAATGGAAGTAATAGAATAGTGTCATAGTTAGCAGAGGAAGCAAATAATTGTGTTTGCTTTGTTTAGTTTTATTTTGATGAAAGGGAATAATGGTATTCATATAGAGAGACAGAGGGGAGAGAGAAAGGATGAATTATAAGGAGAAAATGAAGCACATCCAGAAGAAATAATTGACTACAATGTCCCACAGTTGACAAACAGGTTAGGATATGATTGACAGGTAGAGAGGTGCTCTGTCTAGAGGAGGATCCGTTCACCGTGGAAGCAAGGATAGCTATACAGAGCTCCAGGGAGAGAGTAGATATGTGAATGAATGGTCTCTAATTGTTTCTTATTTCACAGTGAAGTAAAAATTAATCTCTTCAAGAGTAGAATGAAAAAAGAGGTACAGGCGATTTTAGATAATAAGAGAAACTATAAAATAGCCAACTAGGAGAAATAAAGCAGGACAGTTGAATAACATGAGTTCCCCAGAATCTGGGTATATATTCAAGATGAAGCCAGTTGGTGTGCATGTGAATTTCCTCTAAGGATGGTCATTCATGTGGATGGATGCATAGGTGACATATGAGTTGAATTTAACAACCGAGGGAACACTTCAATGCAACAAAGATGGTTGATCTATGTTGATATAGATGAGCTCATCTTTTATCCAAAGCAATCAATAAGATGGCTGGGACAAAGTTTATTCCAAAATATTTTAAAAATTGGTTCACCTTTTATATTTTATTTAAAATACTTTAAATACACTATGATTTATTTCCCCAGTTTTTTTCTTTTCATAATTTTTTATGCATAAGGAGAGAAATTTATTCTTCATTGATTTATAGGAAAACAGTATAACTAAGAAAATAATTACTAAAATTACCACATTTTGAAAGACAAACAAAGCAAGCAGAGGACAGTAAGAGGTAACAAAAAAATCAAGCTCAAAGTAAACTTTTGAGACAGTGATTATTTTATTTATATTACTTATTTTATTTGTGATTTTTAAAATTTTTTCAGTGTCAATTTTCTTTTTGTAAATTTCTTGTCATTGTAAAGTTGATGTACAGAGGAATTACAGTTACATAAATCAGGTAATGAGTTCACTTCTTTTTGAACAGTGTCACCCCTTCCCTAGCTTTCTCCCAATTATTCTTCCCTCCCCCACTGTATAGTTCATTTTCAACATGGTGCCTACTGAGTTTCACTGCTGCATTTGTTCACCCTTTGTACCACCATTTCTATGTTCCCCACATTCCCCTCCCCCAGACAAATTAGCATACAAGATAAAAGGTAATAAACAAAAATTGTTTTTAATGCACTGCATGAACTTCTTTCTTTCATTTTTTCCCCCTTTGGTTTATCCACTGTTGTCACTGTATTTAATTTTGATATCCTGTTTATTGTGTATATGTTTTTCTGGTTTGGGAAAGGAGAGGTGAACAACAAAATGATGAGACAAAGGACAAAGGGTCCAACTCAACAGTGCTACTCACAAGACAATATATTGGAAATGAACTTTACAACTTGGGCAGGGGAGTTGTGGGGGAGGTAAAATGGGAGAAAAATGAGGGAGGCAGTAGCAATATTCAACAAGAAATGTACTAATTACCTTACATATACAACTGTAACAACTTGTACATCATCTTGACAATAAAATTAAATTTAAAAAAGAAAAAATAAACAAAAACAAAAAACAAGGGGCGGTGCCCAGTGGCTGGCTAGCACAGTTCCATTCCACTGCCCTCCATTTCCGCCCCTGCTCCCGCCACCCTTGGATCCCGCACCACTGCCGCCATGTCCTCTGGGGCCAGCCCCTGGGGCACCTGGAGGACTGCATGGAGCTCATTAAGGTCTCCAAGGCAGCTGCAGATCTTCAACAGTACTGCATACAGAATGCCTGCAAGGATGCCCTGCTGTTGTGTGTTCCAGCAGGAAGCAATCCTTTCGGGGAACCCTGGTCCTGTGCTTTGTTTTAAAAGACTGTTTCATTGAGGAATGCCTTCCAGTACAAAATGACAAATGCCTCCAAGTCTCAAGAAAACACTTTTTTTTGTAGCCAAATGACTATTAGATATCTCAGATCTTTTCTGTGGCCTGGTCATATAGCCAGGGTTATACAGAAATTAATGATTTTCTACTCAAATAAGGTAACTGAGTGAAGAAGTGAAGTGCCCACTCCTCAAAGACCACCGGAGACCACCAGAGACTCAGACACTCGAACTGCAAAACGCAAAGTTTATTCAGAACAAGCCTAGGCTCGGGCCTGGTCCCAAACACTCTGACACAGCAGAGGGAGGGAGGAGACCCCGAGCGACATTCCAGCAGAGTTTATAAAGGCAAAAACCACAAGGTGACAAAAAGATACATTATCCAGGTGTTCAAACAGAATTACATGTGAATACAAATCTGATTGGCTCAGGGCTAAGGGTAACAATCCAGGACGATTAGCATCAGCAGAGGGTTACAGAACCGATGGGTCATCTGAGTGGGGAGGTAGTTGGGGCCTGATGGTTTCAGTATAATCAACCTCTTTCCGTAATCTGCTCAGGTTCTGGTCAATTTCAACATAATAATACCTCTCAATACAATACAATTACACTTTTCAGAAAGTCTTGGCCATCAGGGCTTAGAACAAAGGCATAAAGTTAATCAGGAAGCATTGCCTGAGCAAGATAGAGTTACTTTTGTTCTCTCAGAAGTACAGTACTAAATAATTATGACCTAGTTCTATTGCAGAAGTACTTTTGTATTAAGACAAACAACCACCCTTACCACCAAATATTCCAAAATATACCTTTCATAAGTGAAGTTCTGGTTTTGCTGTATCTGGAATATTATGTATATTTTATTCACTGGATGTTTACATTTAGGAAAGAAAACATTTTTGTTTATTAAAACTGAGTATTTGTAACGTGTTCCTAAGACTTTTACACTACAATAAAATTTGTTCTTTTCTCATGAATTTACAGTTACTAAATGAAGGTAAAGTATAAAATTCAGGAGGATAAACAGGCTTTACTAACTAAAAGATGTCTTTTTTTTTTCTTTTTACATGAGAAGACTTTCATTTTTAATGAGAATGTAATTTGTTTTAAACATTAAACTTGGGAGATATATCTTAGTAAACTTGAAAAGATTATTGTTAATGATGTGTATTAGTTTCCCCATCTTGTACACGAAGATTTGATCTTTTTCTTCTTAAGTTCTTTTACAGTTGTGGTACCTTAAAAAAACTACTTTGTTTTAAAAAAAAATGTTTAAATTGTGATCTACAAACAGAACATTGCAAATAGTTAAAAACAAAGTAATGTGAAAATATTATAACCTAAAAGAATTCTTCATGTCACATGGATGATGTGCCTTTCAGTTAGTTTTGGGATACTTTTAGAAGAGGATTGTTTGTAATAATCTTTGACAAGCTTGGAAATAAAATTTCTGCCTAACTAAAAAAAAAACAAAATAATCACTTGTTTCCATTTCTTGGAGTTCATTTCCATAAATATCATTTTATATGATCACATGCGCATAGTTATTATCTTTAAGCAGCAGTAAAAGTGGTTTCAGTTCACCATGATAGTTTAAGAGTGCAATGCATCTTGAACAATGCCACCCTGTTCCTTATTCTCCCTTCCTAACCACTTCTACCTTCCCTCCCAAGTTATTTGGCTCCACTTTCACTTGTGTCCATTGAATATTATGACTATAATTGCCAACCTTCATCTCTCCATTTTTCTGCCTCAACTCTTCTTGACCTCACTACTTAGTGCTTATATTAAGTTGAAAAAGAAATCTGAAAATTAAAATATTATAAAGATTACATTGCAATTTCCTCCCTATTTATAATCAATAAGCTTCTACATTTATTTTTAATTCACATGTTAAATTTTGTCATTTTTCAGAAAAAGAAAAAATAATACATCATTTAAAAATAACATAGTTGGGCCTCAGATGCCTACATACTCAAGAAGCTGAGATCTGAGGATCATAGTTCAAAGCCATCACAGGCAGGAAAATCTTTGATATTCTTATCTCCAATTAACCACGGGGAAAAAAATTCTACAAGTGGAGCTATGGCTCAAGTAGTAGAAAACTAGCCTTAAGAAAAGAAGCTTAATGACAGCAACCAGACCCTGAATTCAAGTCCCAGAACCAGCACCAAATAAATAAATACATACATACATAAAATTAAACAAATGACACAACCAACTGTTCTATCACAAGAATTCCAGGATTTCTACTCCACCATCAATATGTTATCTCCACCTGTTCTTTCAGCCTCACAGATTTACAAAACCATGACTATGTCCACTTAGATCATGAGTCTGGTTCTAGCAATGAAAAGCAAGGTTGCTGAGTACTGAATATTTTAAGCAGCTAATAATAAACAGCTTGCACACTGAATTCTTATTTTTTGTAGTATCTGGGAAACAAAAAATAAAGATTTGTTCAATTTAATTCTGCTTGCTATCTTCATATTTTGTTTCTCTTAGATACTGGCACTGTGAAATGTTGATACAACTAAAGTGAATTACAATTTGTGTTAGTCTTTCTAGTTGCTGTAACAAAGTACCAAGTATTGGGTGACTTATGATGAATAGAAATTTAGTTATCACAGTTAGGAATACCAGCAAGACCCAGGTCTAGGTACTGGAGACATGGTATCTACTGATGGCCAGTTTCTGGGTTCATAGATGGAACCTTCTCCCTAAGTCTTGCCATTGTGCACACAGAATACACACTCATTCAGGCCTCTACACAGAAGTGTTTTCCATTCACTAGAGCCTCACCCTTTTGACCTTTTCCCTTCCCCAGGTCCCCCTCTCAATACCATCAAATGGAGACTAAAATCTGTGACCACAGAAATAGATCATTGCAGAAGTGCTTCCTGAGAGCTAGTAAAATATTACCTGCTGTAAAAAATCACCTGCCACAGAGATGAAATAGAAAATAACTCATAGAATGCAGAAGCATTCGATATAAAGGAAAGAAGCAGAAATAGCCTAGATAATTTATTATAATTTGTACTAAAATTACATATTTTTAAGATTTTTTTCCAGTTATGGGGCCTGAACTCTGGGCCTGGGCACTGTACCTCAGCGCTTCAGCTCAAGGCTAGCACTCTACCACTTGAGCCACAGCACCACTTCTGGCTTTTTCTGTTTATATGGTGCTGAGGAATTTTGAACCAAGGGCCTCATGCATGAAGGCAAGCGCTTTAACACTGAGCCATCTTCCCAGCCCATTTTTATAATTTTAAAAAATTATTTGCAACTGACATATCTTGAAACCACTATTTTATTTTTGTATTTTTTATCATTTACTTTATTCATGGATTACTTATGTGATCCTGTAATCACATTTGTTAATTTTTATATTGTCTCTTGATGCTGGTATATCATAATTTAATTTCTGTTTTGCATTGCTACTAAAATGAATGTGTACTTACCATAAGTATTGCTTCTTTTGGGAAGCAACCTCTGTCTACTTATCTTTTGGGAATTCAAAATTTTATAAATGTCATTGAATCACAAATAGTCTAGGGATAATTCATTTACTTAAATAAATGATAGAATATTTCCCAAATGCTATTATTCATTTAAGTGGCATCCAGGACTTAATCTTTTGACATTTTTTGATTTTTTTTCTTACAATGTCAGTATGTTTGACAAGACACTGGTGTATATAATTAAGTCTGACAATCTTTATTATGTAAGCAAATAATTACTTCACTAAAATAAATGTATTATTCTCCTATAGATTTGATTAAAATGCTAACCCTGAGTTATTAAGTATATATTTTCTTTTTTATTTCTATAATATTTTTTACTGTAAACTTTGAGGCAAGTTGATTTTTAACAATTGCTTTTAATTCTGAATACAAAGGACAATCAATAAGCAGTGACTAAATAAACTATGATACATGCATATGAAATATACTGGACAGTTACCAAAATGAATGAAACAGATTTAGCTATTCTGCCATAAAAATAAATATCTTTGTCATGTTAAAAATTAAAAACTATTGATTCATGAAATAATTTAAAAGAACATAATCTAAAAGAGCATAATCTAAAAACTGAGGGAAAAATTAATGCTTATTATCCAAACTATACAAAGAACTCTTCAAATTCAAAAATAAGGAAATATCTGAACTCGGTCGTTCAAACTTGCAGTGCAGCTGTTGGGAAGCAGAGACTGGAAGGATCATGGTTTGAGACCAGTATAGGCAGAAAGCTCACAACACCTTATCTACAACAGACAAAAAGCCAGGGAACTAAATGTACACTGTTATCCCAGATCCACAGTAAACATAAGCAGGGGGACAACAGTTCAAGCTAGCCTGAGGAAAAAGAGAAACCCTATTCAAAAAATTGCAAAAGCAAAAAGAATGGCTGGCCTGATTCAAGTGGGTTCTAAGCATATCTCTAGAAAGCTCAAAGCTCTAAATTCAAGAAACAAAAACATCAAACACAATTCCAAAGACCTAAAAATATATGTCACCAAAGGAAGACATACAGATGGCCAATGTCATATAAAAAGGTACTTTGTATCACATGTCATCAGAGAAATATAAATAGAAACAACACCAAAATAACACAACTTTCATATTAGAATGACAGAAATTCATCATACTAACAATATCAAATGCTGGTGAGAATGTGGAGCATGAACTCTTACTTATTGGCGGTGTAAATGCTAAATGGTACAGTTTACAAGGTAATTTGTCAGTTTTGTACAAAATGAAATATATTTTCATAAAGTTCAATAAAGATAAGATAGTTTGCTCTTCATATCACCTCTTATTAATATTACCTTTATTTATAAGGTAATCAAGGTGTCTTTAATATGTGAATGGAGAGCCAAAATGTGGTACTTCTTTTCAATGGAACATTATTCAGTATTCCTGGCTACAAAGCTAGGAAACTTAAATGCAAACTACCATTCAAAAGAAGCTGTGCCAAAAAAAGTTATAAACTAAACAAATGCCCTTCTAGAAAATACAAAACTATGGAGAAGTAAAAAGTAAAATAAAATAAAATGTTATTAGGAGTCATGGCAAGTAGTATGTAGGCAGAGCAAATCTTTTTAGTACAGTTAAGCAAGTCTGTGTGATTCAAATGATGGATAGAAGTCATATACATTTGTCTAAAACCGTGAAATATATGCC